CATCGCTGCTGCATCCTGCCTTAGTTCTTTTTGTACAATGCTTGAGAGACTGAGGGATAGGGGTATAGCTTAGATGGTAGAGGCCCTGGAGTTGATGGCTAGCAACACAACGCCATGGGGGGTGGGGGCTGGATCATTTGAAAGGAACAGAGATGTATTTCTTCTAAAGGTTGGGGAGTCCAAGATAAAGGGCTAGCAGCTGGCTGTGGTCTTCTTGCTGTATCATTCTGTGGAAGGAAGGGCAAAGGGAAGATGGGGTGAGGATATCAGTGCTTGAGAGGGGCCACATATGTCCTTTGATGAGGGGCCCATGACCTTGACAGTTACGAGTCCATATGTGATGGTGAAGTCTTCATGTTCTGTCTCCTCTCAGTGGGTTACGCTTTGGGAGTGAGATTTTTAATAATTGCTCTTTGGAGGACACATTCAAGCCATAGCATCTCCTTCTCTGCCTTTCTTTGAACAAGTACTTTACTGAGCTGTGTACCAGAATCTCTAGGTAGGGGCTTAATGAGTCAGCTGAAACTGCCTTCATGGAACTAATGTTCTTATGGAGAATACAAAGCAGAAATAAATAGAAGTATTAAAATAAGAGGCTAAGAGAGTTAAAGCAGGAAAGGTTAAAGAATGAGATGGTGCTATGCTGAACTGTTAAAGGATATGATATCCGAAGAGGTGAATTTTGAGTAAAGCCCAAAATTAGTGGGAAATACAAGTCATGAATAGTTGAGAGACTATTCCAAGCAGAAAAGAATAGCAAGTGCTAGGCTTTGAGATAAGAACGTGCTTGATCCATTTTAGGAACACCGAGATGTGAAACAGCCAGGATGGGAAGACTCATGTGAAATGAGACAGGAGGAGCTGGGGACTTTTATTCACGGCCTGGTCGGACTTCGGACTTTATACTGAAAGGGAGAGGAAGCTTTTGGAAGGTTGTAAATAGAGAAGAAATAAAACTAGATTTATGATTTATGAAGATTCTGCAGACTGCTGTGTTGAGAATAGATGTTGGAGACAAGAGCAGAAGAGAGATCAAATCGGAGGCTGTTTGTCATAGTCCACACTCAGACCAGGATGGTGGGGCAATAGTGGCCAGATCACAGGTGTATAACTTCTTAGCAGCAAGGATATATATGATTTAGCCTTCACCCTACAGCTAACTTTAGGGCCTGGTACCTACTAGGTCCCCAGCAGATTGTGTTGAATGGATAAACAAATGCAAATTTCTGATCTCATTCTAAAACCAAACACTGCTGTCATTGGTTTTGCAAGAGTTATTCAGTGATTTTCTACCTCCTTTTCCCCCTCCTTCCCCCCTCCTCCTTTTCCTCTTCTTCCTCCTCCTCCTTTTTCTTCTCTCTTTCTTTATTTTGAGACAGGGTTTCACTATATATCTTAAGTGGTCTGAAACTTAGCCTTCCAAATGTTGGGGTGATAGGCATGTGCCATGATACCCAGCTCACAGTGATAAACTCTTAACATCAATTGGGCATGGACTTCTCTATAGAACGTCTTTTTAAAATTTTTATTTATTATTTTTTATTTTATGTGTATGAGTGTATTGTCTGCATGTTGTGTGGTGCCCAAGGAGGTCAGAAGATGGTGTCGGATCCCCTGAAACTGGAGTTGCAGATGATTGTTAGCTGCCATGTGGGTGCTAGGAATCAAACTCAGGTCTTCTGCAAGAGCAGCCAGTGCTCTTAACTGGTGAGCCATCTTTCTAGCCCTCTCCATGGAACTTCTTAACCTGGATCAGCATGCTTCTGTTATTGATGGGGTCAGCCCAAAGCAGCCTAATACTTGGCAAGCCTAAAATTATCCTAGGAGAGACAATGACTTAGATAACCAAATAGGAAAATTCCTATTTCACAAACTCAGATTATAAAGTAGTAAACCCTTATATTTCAGTGGTATGCACAGCTACTGTATGAAGATGTACTTATAGGCTTTTCTCATTTCCTACAATGGCTCAGAAGGCATTTCTTTATAATCACACGGCCAGCAAGTAGCACTCTCAAAAACCAGTTATTCATCTCTAGAGCCTTTATTCATTCTACTGTGCTTATTGATTTATTTTCCAAAGAGTCACCATTGAATATATCATGTAGTGCACTACATGATAGGGATACTGACACAAGCAAGACCCCTGTGCTGACCTTGTAAAAAGAAATCAGATAAGAAAATCAAAGATTTTAATAAAGGGTGATAAATATCAGATCCAAACAATATATTTTGGTTTTATGTATACTGTCATTAAAATATGAACTAAAA